GGGTCAGGATCGCTCCCGCCTCATCCCAACCATTCCCGGTGGGACCCAGCACCCTCAGCGGGGCCTCCCCGGACCCCCACGCTGGGATCGGGTTTATGAGGAGCCCCCAGACCCTTTGTGCCTTTAGGGGACATTTGCACGGCACCAGGGGTGGAAATCCCTAATTCCAGCTCCTAATTAGTGACCTGAGACCAAACGAACCCGGGAGAGCCGCGTGAGTTTTCCCTGAGCTGCTGTGGGATCCCAGCACCACAACGGCGCCTCCAGCACCTTCACGCCCCCCGAGGATCCCAGAAATCCCAAATCCACCGGATTTACCCTAAAATCCAAGCAGGGTCTCGGAGCCACCCAGGATTCATCCTCGACGGGGTGCAGGAAGTGGAGGAAATTGTCATTTTTACCAAATTATGGGGGTTTTGCTGCAAATGTGAGAGCCGGGGGTGGCTGGGCAGGACTGGGAGGGGAGGGGTTGTGGAAACCCGCTGGTGGCACTTGGCAGCTCCCAAAAAACGTTTCGGTGGAGGAAAAACACAATTAGAGCGGGGAAAAGAGTTTCCATCCCGAAGGAGGGGAAAATCTGAGCCAGGGGCACAAAAATCCCACGGGAGGGAGGGGACGATGCTGGGACGGGGAGGGCAGCAGGGGTGGAAACGGGGGCTTGACATGGGGAGTTTAAAATGGGGAGTTCAAAGGGGGGCTTGAAATGGAAAGTTTCAAATGGGGAGTTCAAATGGGGAGTTTAAAATGGGGAGTTCAAATGGGGGCTTGAAATGGGGAGTTTAAAATGGGGATTTCAAATGGGGAGTTCAAATGGGGGTTTGAAATTGAGATTTTAAAGTGGGAAGTTAAAATGGAGGTTTGACATGGGGGTTTGACATGGGGATTTTAAAATGGGGAATTAAAGTGGGGGTTTGAAATGGAGATTTTAAAATGGGGAGTTAAAATGGGGAGTTTAAAATGGGGATTTGAAATGGGGAGTTAAAATGGGGAATTAGAATGGGGGTTTGAAATGGAGATTTTAAAATGGGGAGTTAAAATGGGGAGTTTAAAATGGGGATTTCAAAATGGGGAGTTAAAATGGGGGTTTGGAATGGGGGCTTGACCTGGACATTTTAAAATGGGGATTTCAAATGGGGGTTTGAAATGGGGAGTTAAAATGGGGAGTTAAAATGGGGGTTTGGAATGGGGGCTTGACCTGGACATTTTAAAATGGGGATTTCAAAGGGGGATTTTAGGAGCACCGGACACGGAGGGCCCAGAGGGACAAATCCAGGCGCGGCCCCGCGGTTTGGGATCCCGGGGATCCCGGGGGACGGCTGGGCTGGTGTGAGCAGCGTCCCGAGCCCGGCACGGGGAAAAGTCAAAGTTGAGCGCGGAGTTTGTGCCGGGCGCTCCTGCTTTTTATAGGTTGTTTAAACAAGCGACCAGTGCAAACCAGCACGGCGCTGCCAGGGCACTGGGAAATGGGGCAGAGGTGGGCACGCGGCTCCGAGGGGGTTTTGGGACCGCCGCGACCTCCCCAAAACCCGTCCCCAGCTCCCAAACATCCCCCGGCACCCGAAAACCCGCCAGCTTTGGGGGCTGTGGGGCCGCCACCCTCCGGCCCCGCTGCCACCCCGCTGCCACCCCGCTGCCACTGTCACCCCGGGGTGACACAGAGCGAAAGTCCCGGGCGCTGCCACGGCCCGGTGCCGACGGGCGGAGGGGTTTTCGGTTCCACAATGAGTGTGTGGAAGGAGGGAGGATCGAAAGGGCCCCAAAAACGAGGCGGGCCTGGGGAGGATGGGTGGACACGGGGACCCCCTTCCACCCCGGTGGGTGCCACGTCCGAGGAGGGCACCTCGCAATTCCCGTGGGATTGGGCTGGAATTCGTTTGGGGTGTGCTCCCTGGTTTGCTCCTGACAATCCTGGGGGGGTTTTTGGGAAGAGGAGGGGAATTCAAGGGGTTTAAATGAACCCAATTTCCCCCCAGATCCTTCTGGGTGCCCCCCTAGCAGCGTGCCAGGCTTTGCAGGCCCCTCACAGCTGGCATGACCCAGCAGGATCCCCGTCCCCTCGCGTTCCCAAATCTGCTTTTTTGGGATGTCGTGGGTGCTGGAGGTGGCTGGGAACCAAAATCCTGGAGAACCTGAGGCCTGCATCCAGCTCCCTCCTTCCCCAGACGTCACCGTGCCGCGTCCGGCTGGCACGGGGCCGTGGAATCGGGCCAGGGGCGGCGCGGCCGGACGGGCACCCACGCTCCTGTCCCAGCCCCTGCACCCAGGGGTGCCAGGAGGGTCCCCGGGGGGCACAGCCCACGGCCCCGGCCCTGCTCAGCCCGGGCTTCCACCGGGCACTGCAGAGCTGGGAAACTCCAGAGCTGGGAAAATCCAGAGCTGGGAGAGCTTCTCCCATGGGGAGAGCAGAAAGTTGAGCATGGGGACAGGGACAGGGATGGGACAGGGATGGG